TATTGAGAAAGCATCCACAAAAGTTGCCTCTGGATCAGGTTTCCAAGACACAAAACAAGGAACTTGCTTGTTTAGTCTTGACGCAAATAAATCAAYAGAAGGCTCTCCCCATATTTTGGTTATTTGTTGAAAAATGTTTGGGGACAGCATCCACTCCTTGTTATCATTAAATACTCTAGACTCTTTGTCTGCATGTATATTGTCTTTCCCTGGAATATGGGCACATGACAACCAAATTTGCCTTTCCATGCAAAACAGCCAAATGGCTTTTGTAACACCATTACAATCCATGGAGTGTGTCCCCCCCATTGCGTTAATATAGTTAACAGTAGTGGTATTATCAGAATAAATGCGAATATGTGTTGAGTGTAGATTACTACAAAAAGATTTCAAACCATAGAGTACAGCTGTTAACTCGAGGCAATTAATGTGTTTGTTTGACTCACTCTCATTCCACCTGCCTCCTGTTCTRTTAGAACCCATTACTGCACCCCACCCTAAGTTGGATGCATCAGTGTACATGATGTTGTTACACTCAGAATTAGGYATACAAATGGGGTAATCCACATTTCTTATGTTGTCACACCACCACTGTAGTTCTAGCTTACTTTCATCTGATAACTTTAAATGACACAGGTAATTTCCTTTGTTCTCCTTAAGGGCTTTAGTCTTATCAGATTCAAGGTTTCTATAAAAAAGAGGGCCATGCAAAACCCCAGGAAAACAAGATACCAACAGACCAATAACTTCTGCTAGCTCTTGAATAGTGATGTGCTCACTAATTAGCAATCTGAGGTACTTATTCTCAATGTTGGTGATCTTTTCAGGGGTTAAACTCACTGTCATTGTCACAGAGTTAAGGGTAAWTCCCAGAAATRTCAAAAYCYRTGTTGGTTCTAATACTGATTTAGTTGAGTGAACAATAAACCCTAACTTAGTAAATAAATCACATGTGTTAGCAATGTTAGCCTTGCAATCTTCTACTGTTTCCCCCTGTAGGTAGGAGTCATCAATATATCCTACACTCAAGTGCCCTTTTTGTCTAAGGGTTCCATAAATTGGTTTTAGGATCTTTGTAAACAATCTAGGGGCACAGGAAAGGCCATTGGGCAAACAGACAAATTGAAACAGCTTTCCATTCCAGTAGAATTTCAGATATTTTTGGTGTTCCACATGTATGGGCACTGAATAGTAGGCATCTCGCAAATCTACAGATGCCATATAGCAATTTTGTTTCATTAATCTTACAGCTGATTGCAATGTGTCCATCTTAAAATGATGATATTCTACATGGTCATTCAGGTTTTTCAAATTGAGGATCAGCCTAGCTGTGGCTGCCATCCTTTTTTGGCCTTATAAAAATAGTAGAAATGTATTCTCCAGGGCAGTGGGTTGTTTCTGTTATCACACCCTTCTTTAGGAGCTTAGTAATTTCTCCCTCAATAATTTTTTGTTCTCTAGGAGTGAAATTTATCTCCTTTGGTATGTATTCTTGCTCTGGGATTTCAGAGAATTCTATTTTATAGCCCTTAATGCTATCAAGGATAAACATATCTGAGGTTATGCACTGCCACTGGTCAGAAAACTGTTTCACTCGTCCCCCTATTCTGTCATTAGACACTTGTAATAGTGAACGATTTCTTACCTCAACATCAACAGTATTAACAAATTGAGGACCATCGGTCTTTATTTCGATTTGTCCTGTCTGAATCTCTTCTGGTTTTGGTTGTACGGCTGTCGCTCGCCGTTTCGCCAGCCTAAAAAAGACCTCCTATTTCGACCTCCACGTCCCCTCGAACCGTAGTTGTTGTAGTTTCTGGAGTCTCTGGAGTAATAACGTGGCCTCGTAGACGTAGAGGAGCCCGCAGTAGTGGTTGTAACTTTCTTACCAACACGATTCACTTCGGTCAGGTCTTTTACCTCCTTCGCTARATCATCTCCAAATAGCTGGTCGGTTATATTGAGAGATGAATTAGCTGAACAGAGATGTTTATAATCATTGTGTAGGTCGGGCTTAATTTGTTCTCTTCGCCTCTGATTAAGCTCTATATTTGCATTGGCAACGAGAGCAAAGGCGTCAGTAGCTTATGGCGCGCCAAACTAGACAAAAATACTTCTTCAAGAAATATAAGACTAGTTGTGAGAAATATAAGACTTGTTGCCGAAATATATGACTTGTTGTGGTAAATATAAGACTTGTTGTTGAAATATATGACTTGTTGTGGTAAATATAAGACTTGTTGTTGAAATATATGACTTGTTGTGGTAA